TTGGCAACGAAGCGGAAAAAATAAAAGAGGAGATGGACTTGGCCTACCGGGCCTACTCCAACTTTACGAGAAAAAATAAGTTGCCAGCTGAAGTGGTTGTAAAATTTACCAAACAGCGTCTCAGGGACCAAATTTTGAGGATTACATCAACGTCACCCCTGAAAATTGGAGACCAATCAATTAGAATTTTGAAAGATGTTCCATTTGAAATCAGAATGAAAAGAAAGGAATATAAGGGATTGACCACTTTCTTACAAAAACACCAAACGGGATATAAATGGCTGATACCCGAAGGGCTGATGTTCAAGTTCAAAGACAAAAGGGAAAAAATTGATTCCATCTTTAAGACTCAAGAATTTTTGAAAAGGCATGCCAGTAAAGAAGAGGGAGCAGAACTAGCCAAGTGGATGTCAACACTAAGCGTGGACGACAGCAGCTCAGAGGGAGAGGTGAAAGACGATGAAGTTGAAGGAGCGACTGGATTAAAATACAATTTGAGAGACAAAAGAGGAAAGGACCCCAAAGTTTGATTTTTTTTTCCGGACTATACTTGGAAGAAAACCACCTCAGAAGGACATTACTAACAAATTGAACACTTTGTCTAACATTGATTAATAGAAGGACGTCTGAAGATGGACATTATGGACTTAGAGCTTTGAGTACTAACAGAATAATTCACTAATACAAATAACACCACTCACCCTTTTCTTTATCCCGCTATATACCCACCCTTTTTTTCTTGAATTTAAAAGAGATATCTCTCCTTTTTAGGAGGGAATAAATCTTATTCAAAAAAAAAAAGTGTGTGGACTCTAATTTGGGAGAACTGGGTTTAATTTCCCACTCCTCCACATGCAGCTGCTGATGTGACCTTGGGTCAGTCACAAGTCTTTCAGAACTGTTCTCTCATGAGCAGTTCTCAAGAGAGCGCTCTCTGTCCCGCCGACCTATAACACACCTAAGTAGAGCTGAGATTTGGTTAATAATAACCCACCCCAATGGTTTCAGTATTTCCAGTTAAGGTCTGCCCTCAGGAGTATTACATGGAGAATGTAACCAAAATTTGATTTATTCGATTTCTACCCCGCCCTCCTGGCCTAGAAATGATACTTGTTTTCCTATCCTGCTGTTTACTAAAAGGGGCCCTGATGTATTCGCTTCAGTTTACAGCCTACTTACTCAGCCGCACAATGAACTACCAGTGACACGGGCTATGACTTATGAATGCTTATGCCACAGCAGTCTTTGCTGGCTGGTGTGGATATGGATACAGAAAGAATAATATAACCCAGGGATCCCCAACATGGTGCTCGTGGGTGTCATAGTGTCCACCAAGAGTATTTAGAAAGTGGTTAGAGATCTGATTGACTGTGCAGATTTTTAGGAAGTTGCCACCACAGCGCAAGTATCACGGCATGATCGATGGTAAGCTGTGCTTATGCAAGTAAATATTTTTAAACGATATGTTCATTTAAAAACACATCCTGTCTCAACACAGCTTCTGTCTGAAATGTTGAAGAGTTGCTATTAGAATTACGTGTAACCTCACTCCCTGCTCTAGCAAGCAGCCGTTTTGTGACTGCAGACACCACTGTATCCAAAGGTGTCCACAAGGGCCAATATGTTGGGGATTCCCAATATACTGTCATACTTCTGCAGCAGCCATCACAGCCCACACTAGCCTGATCTTGTCAGAGCTCACAGTCAGCACTGGGACAGGAGACCAAGAAGGATGAGGGCTGCTCTGCAGAGGAAGGTAATGGCAAAACCACCTCTGCTTACCTTTTGCCTTGTAAATGGCACATTTCACTTTATACTTCTGCTCTTGAAACTATTTCCATACCTAACAATCCCCCCCCCACTGCATTATGTCTGATGGTCCAAATTCAAACTGTGTGAACTAAAATCAATTTGTAAACTCCAGTTGGTGCAGAATGCCACGGCTCAGCTGTTATTGGGAGCTAAACAGAGCATGCATATTAGCCCATTCTGCAGGCACCATTGGCAGCCTCTCCCCCATGCTCTGCCATGACAGCTTCGTTCATCAGAGCAGGGCCTTCTGCAGGTGCCAAACTTCAAATGAGCAAAATCAACAATGCCCATACATGTGCCTTCTCCATTGTGGCCCCCACCTTATGGAATGGCCACCTGAGAGCCAGTTTGGTGTAGTGGTTAAGTGTGCAAACTCTAATCTGGAAGATCCGGGTTAGATTCCCCACTCCTCCACTTGCAGCTACTGGATGACCTCGGGCAAGCCATAGTTCTGTCAGAGCTGTTCTTGAAAGAGCTCTCTCAACCTCACCTACCTCATGGGGTGACTGTTGTGGGGAGGGGAAGGAGTTTGTAAGCTGCTCTGAGACTCCAAGTGAAGGGTGGGGTATAAATCCAATCTCTTCTTTTGAGGAGGAGGAGGTAATGAAGGCTCCCACTGTACCAGTTTTTTGCACATTATGCATCTGAATTATTCAAGAGGGATTTTTTACACAGGCAATAGAGTTGCACTGTACTAAATGTTTCAAAAAGGTACCTGTATAAATTATTAGGGACTGTGGACTATATAGTACTGTGCATAGGTTACTGTAAGTAGGATCCTACTATGTAATTTTTGCATCATTTAATGTATCACGTTAATAGTGACGCTTTGCTTCAGTTCTATGTTTAGACATTTGGTTGGGTCTACAACCCTAATTCTTATTGCATTTTTCATTGTATATCCCATCCTGTTGATTGCACTGACTCACTCTGTGTAATCTACATCGAGGCCAAGTGAGAAAGATGGACTATAAGTAAAAAAAACCAAAACCCTGCATTTGAATCTGAAGCTGGGTGTGCTGGTAAACTGATCATTTTGGCTTCTTTTGGAAAAAATAGTTTAACAGAACATATAATCTTATTGTGCAGGGGTGGCCAAACTGCGGCTCGTGAACCACAGGCGGCTCTTTCACACATACTGTGCGGCTCCCGGAAGGGTGGCTGGGGAAGTGAAGGGGAGGCATGCTTCCCCGATTGGTCTTCCCTTTCCCAGCCAGTGTTCCTCTCCCTGGGTAGGCTTGAGGTGGAGGGGGAACAGAGAAAGAAAGCAACTTTAACTTCAAATGCGTTCTCAAAGCACACCCCCCAGCCAGCTTGGAGAAAGCATTTGTCTCTTTAAATATCATTATCAATAGCTGTTTTTACCCCTTTTGTTTTATTTCTGGCAGTCTTATTTAATGTTAATAAAAGCAAGTTTGCATACTTTCCACTAAAAACGTGTGTGTGATATTTGTTCATGTCTTGTGGCTTTTGAACCATCGGATGTGTCTTCTGTGTGGCTCTTATGTTAAAGCAAGTTCGGCCACCCCTGTCATAGTGGATCTACTTGCTCTCGCAGAATAACTGCAAATCAAAAACAATGAGCCACATTTATTATTTAGATCACTGGTGTGCAACAGAAATAAAAAGGGAAGCGCAATGCACTGGCATTCTGCAAGGAGACCACCAAGAAAGAAACAGGTTTCCTAATGACTTTAACATGACCATACCCAACTGGACATTTCCTTCCCTCCATAACACTAAAGGCTCTGACCTTGTAGAACAGTTTGCCAGAGGTCAGGAAAGCTCCCATTCTCCTGGCATTCCTCAAACTATGCAAAACCGAACTATTTAAGAGGGCTTTTTCTGCACAGGTAATAGGGTTGCACTGCAAAAAAGGTTTTACAAATTTGCTTGGGGAAATGATTAGGCACTGTAGTCGACACTGCTGTGTACATCTTATTGTAAGTAGGAGTCTCTGTAATTTCTGTACCGCTTAATGTGTTATGTGTGAATACTTTATTGCCATGCTTCAGTTCTTTCTGGTTGTTCCGGACTTCTAAAATCGTACTGCATTGGTTACTGAATTTCCCACATTGTCCACTCTACTATGTGCAATCTACCTGGAGTCCCTGTGAGAAAAGCGGACTACAAATAACGTAATTTTGTTAAAAAAATTAAAAGGTACCACAGCCTTGTCTTTTTAGCATCCAGGCAGGCATTAGAACAGAAGCATGTTTAGTGCCCTACAGCAAAGGGGATACACGCCTTTCAACAGCAGTAAATGAATGCGTCAGCAAAAGCCGCTCTACATAATTCGCACAGCTAAATAAATAAAAATCTCAATTTCTGTACTGGCCAATTCGCCTAAATAACTCAGGCTTCCACTAGGTTTGGCAACGGAGACCACCCATCACTTCGTCCATGCTGGGGTAAAATCGTTTTTAACTATCTAAAGTGGCTGAAAATCGCTGCTCAGCGAGGAAAGAAGTGCCTCAATAATAGTATGGGTCCGATTAGTCTAGCCGTTCCTCTATCGGCACGATCCACCGGAGGGCTGTCAGAAGGGAAACAAAAGAGGGCTTCCAAATTCTAAGGAGCTGAACCCCAAATAAGACCACCTTCTCCCCTGAGGCGTAGGAACAAAACACCCAACACACATTTAAGTGGCGTGGCGCTGAGCTGGGCATCTCTTTTCTCCGCGCGAAAGATGTCCCCTCGTTCTACCAAAAGCTGCAGCGATGCTTCCGAGGCTACGACGACAGCACGCTCGTTCGCCACCCCCCCATAACCTCCTTTACACTGGACCTTGCCTTACAGCCACTCGATATAGTTCCCAGGGCGTGACTACGGCCTATTACACGGCCCAACTACCCTCCCGTTAGTCAGAACGGGAAAATGGCGACTCGCCTCCTTTCCCTCACTGACGCGCAGGCGACTCAGGCGACGTGATACAAAATGGCGGCCTCGGAGGCCCTGAACCTAGCATAGGAGAGACTTTGTATGGCGCGGAGGCGGGACCCGCGGCTAACAACCAATAAACAATGGAACCGGGGCCTAGGCTGTCCAATGGCCAGGATGGGCAGTTTATAGTTTTTCGGACGGCCCAATCGTGCCGTATACTGGTGCTGGTTGCGGGGCCCCACCCGCACGACTGTGGGCGGCGTTGGGGAATAGGCGGGCGGGCGCTGAGACGGCCGTTTCCTGTCCTGGTGCATGGTGGTCGGACGGAGGAATTGTTGGAAAATTTCTCGGCGAGGTTCGTATATAAATGTGTTTTTACCCAGTGTGCCTTATTCTACCCGCCGCCATCTCCGGCTGGGATGGCTTCGCTGGCGGGCGCGGCCTGGCCTAGCCCGTCCGCGGCGCTGCTCGATGAGGGAGAAGCGAAAGAAAAGGGGGGAGGGAGGCTGCGCCCGCGCCGCTGATTCACATTAATAATAAAAGACGAGGCGGCGTCGTAGCCGCCGCCTGCCCCCCCTCCCGCTTCCCCTTCGATATTCCCGCCTTCTAGGCCTCAGCGGTTCACGCCGTTTTCTCGCACGATGCGGTCGGGCGCAGACAACCGCCGCATTAAAATAGCAATTGAACAGCTTGGGGAGGCCAGACGGAGCGTGGAGCATCGCAGGCTGTTGTGGGGTTGTTTTTTTTGGGGGGGGGTTTGAAGCGTCGCTCGGCGGCTCTTCAGCGGCGGCTGCGTCACTGCAAAGGGCTCCTTTCGCCGTGGCGCTGAGCAGCCTGAGAGGAAACCCTCGCCGCAGCCAGGGGGTTTTTTGCCTTTGCCCTCTCCAGAGCTCAGCCCCGAGCGCCCGCCGCGCTCCCTCCGTGGCCAGCCTCGTGTGTCTAGCCCGCTCGGGACCGGGCGCCGGTGGCCAAGCCCCGCAAGCGGCCGCAGGGCTTGCTTTGGCGAGATCCTTTTTTCTTTTCTTTTTTAATTTAAATAAACGATTTTATTAGAAGATAAGTCAAGTATACATAAACAAGATTACTGTTTAAACGACAATACAGACTGTCAGTGCAAGTTCATTGAACACAATGCCATCTATAAACTTATCAGTAGGAACAGCTTATTACGGTGACCTTGTCCCTTTCTTGTTGTTTTCCACTTGCTCCACTAGAGTAGTAAGGTATCATAAATCCAGATATATTTTAGAAGGACCTTAAAAGTATTTTATGAGGGTGCTCGAACCATAAAAAATCCTCATAGATGTATCCAATCTGCATAGCTAGAATTTGCTGGTAAAACATCGTTTTCTGTAAAGATCCTTAAAACGACAGTTTAGGTCAGGAGGAGCGGGGGGCGACGCACGTGGAATCGGGCCCCAGAGCCGCTCTAGTCCGCCATCCCGCTCCTCACTGTCGCCAACCCACAGTATCCCGCAGAGGTCCACTGCCTCTGCACATGGAGGCTCTGTTTGATCGCGAAGAATAACAGCAGCCAGGGGACTTGGTTATCCCGTCTGCTTGTTGACTCTTGTGTTTGTAGGCTCGTTCCCTGCCATTCACAGCTCTTGCCAAATGCTTTAATCCCGTCTCAGCTATACTTGCCCGGTTACTTCCGTATTTTTTGACAGCACTAGTCATCCTGGCAACTGACCCCCTCACCCTGTCTCTGCGTATACGTATGTCAGGTTTGGGGAAAACTTTTTCAGTGTATCTGAAGAAGTATGCATGCACACTGAAAGCTTATACCCAGAATTAAACTTGATTGGTCTTAAAGGTGGCCCATGGAGGATTACTCCAGATCTAACACATAGGATTGTTATTGAGGCTATCAGTTGACTACAGAAAAGTAGATAATGTTTTTTGGTTGATTAATCTCTTAAGCGTATGTACATTTAACCACGCTTGGTCTGAAAAAAGTGGTTTATTAGATTAACATTTGTTGCAGTAGGTACTAACATAGAAAAAACATTTCTCCCTCTGTGTGAGTGAAGGCAGGATGCCTATTCTAACATAATTCTTTAAAATTTTGTGAGTACTTTTATTAAAGTCTGCTGCTTAATTAGGGACACCCATTTACTTGATCAAAGCGATTTTGATCACTTAAGCAAATCTATTAATTGATGTTTGGGGGCCTACACTTACTTATTCCACTGCTGTTATTTCTTAAGCTTTTCTCCATTCATTGTTCTTGTCTATCCATGTTGAATTGCTGCTGCCAAAGCTGCTCATTTCTGGCAAGGACTGATTTTGAAGACTGAGATGGTATCTAACATGCTATAGAGTGCCCTGTACTACCACCCTTTAAAAAGACAATCCAGTCTTAGGTATTTTTCTGGAAAAACCCAGGTAACAGTGTAATCCTAAGCATTCACAGCATTCTAAGTCAATCAGTGTTCCATTTCCCAACTGGTTTATTGAAACTCAAAATATTTCTCAAACGGACAGCCTGCCACCTCCTTTCAGGTGACAGAAGTAGAATTTTTTTTCCTGAGCTCTGTTGAGTCCTTGAATGACAAAGCTATCTATCTGGAGACGAACTTCTAACCAGTGAGGAAACATTAATTGCTATTAAAGGACCAAATTAATGGCCTTTTATCAAAGCCCCAACAGCCATCAGGTGTCCAGTGTAGACAAACACCATACTAGGATCCATTCACAGTGAACAGACAATGGTTATGATACTTAAGATAGCTATGTTTTAAGGTTATCATAAGACAAAAACTTTTTGAATAGGTTTTTGAATACATTTGACTATATTCCATGGGACGGAGACAGCACTGGTCGCTCTTACTGATCGGGGTGGCTCAGCAGTATTGTTGTTGGACCTGTTGGTGGCGTTCGACATGGTCGACCATCAGTTACTGCTTCATCGCCTTGCCGACATGGGAATTCAGGGGCTTGCCCTGCAGTGGCTTGCTTCCTTTCTCCAAGGTCGGGGACAAAGGGTGGCACTAGGGGAACAGCAGTCCACGCACCCGCTGGAGTGCCCCAAGGGGCAGTGCTGTCCACGATGCTGTTCAACATCTTTATGTGCCCCTTGCCAGGAGGTATGGGCTGGGGTGCCATCAGTACGCCGATGACACTCAGCTCTATCTGATGTCCAGTTGGCTTAGGCTGAGCCAGCTGAAGCTGAATCCGACAAAGACGGAGGTCCTGTGCGTGAGTTGGAGCGGTTTGGGAGGAGGGACCCTACTCCTGACCTTCGGCGGGGCGCCATTGGTGCCAGTGCCGGAGGTTAGGAGTTTGGGAATGCTCCTGGATTCCTCCTTAACAATGGAGGCCCAGGTGGCAGCCACTGCCAGGTCAGCCTTTTATCATCTTCAGCTGACCAGGCAGTTGGTTCCCTTCCTCAACCGCAGCGACTTAGCTACGGTGATCCATGCGATGGTCACCTCAAGACTAGACTACTGTAACTCTCTCTACATGGGGCTGCCCCTGTTGCAATTTCGGAAGCTGCAGGTAGTGCAGAATGCCGCGGCCAGGCTTTTGATGGGCTTTCCCAGATGGGAGCACATCCAGCCTGTGCTGAAGGTGCTGCACTGGCTGCCAATAGTATACCGAATTCACTTCAGGGTGCTGGTGTTTACATTTAAAGCCCTATATGGCCAGGGTCCGACATACCTGAGGGACCACCTTTCCCCATATATGCCCCAGAGAGCACTGAGGTCGGGATCCCAGAACCGACTGACTTCCGGGCCCCAAGGATGCCAGGCTCGCCACCACTAGGGCCAGGGCTTTCTTGGTGGCGGCTCCGTACTGGTGGAACAAGCTCCTGGAGGAGATCAGGGCCCTGCGGGATCTTGTGCAGTTCCGCAGGGTCTGCAAGACGGAGCTCTTCCACCAGGCTTTCAACTAGGAGCCGTCCCCACTACTACCAACGAGCTGTTCCGTAGTTTTAACATCTGGCCTCCACCACTGTGCTCAGGAAGACCATTGAGTGGTAAACTGGTTGTATTTCCAGCTTGCCATCTTATGTACCCAATGTATCAGCACTAGCACTTTATGAGTTTATGTTTTACTGTATTTGAAATTTTAAACTGTTTTTATGTGAATTAATGGTCATTATAGACCAATTACGTAAGCCGCTCTGAGCCTGCTCGCGGGGAGGGTGGGGTATAAAATAAATAAATAATAAATACAGTTCTTAAATGCAGTTGCATCTCAACACAGTGTAAGCATGCTTCTATAGAGGGAAGTGTCACTAAAATCAAATTTATGGTTGATTCCGTGCTGTTAGTTGGAAGGAGTGGAAAAACCACTCTTTATTTCATGCAAGAAAAAATAGTGTCAGCCTTCTCATGAAGCTACCCTTGAATAGTGTCCTGAAGCTAAATGTTGTATCGTAATAAAACGCCTCCACATCAGTCTCTAGGTTAGCTTTATTATTCTCAGTCACACAGTATAAAATACACCTGCAACTTGCAATCACTTCCACTTCCTACTCCTGACCAGTGTTCCCTCTTAGCTCAGTAAGGATGGCTCCAGAGCAAACTAGTTGATGCAGTAGCCAAATCGCTCGCATAGAACTTTAATTCCAGTAGCTCACAAAGTAGAATTTTTGCTCACAAGACTCCGCAGCTTACAGGGAACATTGCTCCTGACATATACAGTCCTCTTAAAGAAACACACACAGCATCTGGATATCCCAAGTGATGGCTTGGATTGGTCTCCTTCTGCACAGGCCCATCCTCATTTTTAATCACTGGTAACAAAGGAGAACCCTCTGATTCAAAACTCACTTCATTCCCACTAGAATATGCAGGTACCAAATAAGAAGCATTCTATACACGGTCATCTTAAAAGTTCTAAGGTTTTTCTCTGCACTGAATAACGCGACCCGCTGCAATTGCACCACTTGGGAACAGTGACCATAATGAGTTCAACATTTGTATAAATAGGGAGTTGCCCAAAAAGACCGACACAACCACTTTTAACTTTAAAAGGGGTAACTTCTCTGATATGAGGGGACATGTAAGGAAGAAACTGAAAGGAAAAGTAGAAAGGGTCAAAACCATTGGGGAAGCTTGGAGACTATTTAAAACTACGATCCTAGATCTATCCTTCAAACTTCTATTAAACCGCTCAGTTTCTCCATTGCCTTGTGGATAACACACTGATGACCTCCTATGTATAATATTCCGTTCCACAAGAAGAGTTTCAAATTCCAAAGAAGTAAATTGGGCACTGTAACGATTCCTTGTTTCTGTGTGTGTGTGTCTCTTTAAAAGTTTGGTTGCATGGCTGTAATAGATAGACTAGAGTGATTGAGAGAAGCAAGTGTGGTATGATTGGTGGTTGAC